TCCACTACATCCAGTTGTTTTCCAAGTGGCATATCTGAAAATGAAAAAACATTTATAAACATAACTAATAAGCAAAAAAAATAAGAAAAGACTAACAATTATCGACAGAAGAGATCGTTAAATTTAAGTTGCGTCTATAATTTTTTGACAGCTGATAAAACGTTTTTTGTACGATAAAGTACTTTGGATGAGTGAAATGACTTGAAATTTTGCATGGGTTATTTTTTACATTAAAGAAACTAAAAAATACTTTTCACTGGACTTATATCCGGCTCTAAACTAGCAAAAAACAGGGCGCATCTATAATTTTTTGACAGATTGTAGTAGTCCCTCCCAGAGGACCAACGAAAAACTAGTGGCCTTCCCTCTAATAATAGCCCCCCAAATTTGCATCTGCTTTTGGCTGAATACTGACGAGGATTGGATTTTGCTGCAAGCATCTGAACGCACAAAAGGTGGGAACCCTGGAATGGAGATCTACTTAAAATGGGTTGCTGATGCCTGACATTCAATTTTGGAATAAGACATTCGTCGATCCTTCAAAAGCTGTGGTGTTGGAACCGATCCAAGTGGTGCCGACGACCAGCTGATTCAATTTTTTAAGCCCGATGGCCCGATTCCTACAGGACTACAGTTATTCAGGGATGCATCGAAAAAGAAGTCGATGAGCGCCTGAATCCGCTTATGCAAATCTTCTCGATTTTTGCCCAGAAACAGAAATATGTGAGGAAGAATTTGCATCTGATATATCAATTGATCTAGATTTTTAAATTTCTGGTTTTTTTTGTTTATTTTTGTTGAATTTTACTTGTTTCCGTAAAACGATTGAAAACTGTTTCTTTAATGAGTGGTAATTATCTTAGATTTTTGCAGTTTTGGTCGTGTGAATGGCAAAAAGTACTATCGAAAACATAATGTGTGTCCCCCCTCATCTAGTAGTAGTCCCCCTCTAATAGTGATCGTCCCTAGAGGGTCAGCAATAAAATAATGTCCCCTGGGCTACTATTACAGCTTTTACGGTAGACACATAGTAATTGAGCTATTTGATTTTTGGCAAATTGTGGGAACAAAGGTGAGCAAACTGACTATTTGTTAGTTCGTAGACAATTAGAGTTTCTCTGTTATTCTCTGTTATTCTAAAGAGATTGAAAATTCTGGTGTGACTGAATCGAGAGGTACTATCGATAATTTCCTTTTAAGAAATTAATTTCTAATTAGATGATTTTCAGTGATAACGACCACACCACCCACAACCACCACCCAGTACCATGGTGAGTGAGAATGAACTATTTTCTTTCCTTCTTTTCTAGAAATTCTAGCCAAATCAAAGCATCGTTTATTATTCAGAAAACCCGTGTCCATCTGGATGGGCTTTCAGCTGGCATCTGAGTTATTGTTACTATCTACAGGTGAGAGTTGAGAATACAACATAATTCAAGCAAGCACTCAGAATTTCACTTTGTGTTCACTGGCAGCTCTACAATTGGACCAGATCCGAAACTCTATGCAATCAAATGGGAGCTCATTTAGTGTCGATTCACTCGAAAGATGAGGATTACTTTGTTTACGGTGAGATTTCTTTGGCAGTCATTGTCATGGCAACTACGGGTGAATCCTGAAGTGTACTGAAAGTAAAAAGAGATTGAAAACTAGAACTTCTTGTGTAAATCCATTTAGGCCACATGATGTAAGGGTTCATCTACAGGGACAGCCACTAATATTGTAACTCTTCAGATCTCGTTTCTTCGAATCTCGCCGACAACCGCCTCCCCGCCCCGAACAACGACTCGTGCCACTATGGGCAATCGTGGATCGGATACTACGGAAGTGGATACCCGGGCACTGGCACATGGACTGATGGATCATCCGTCACTTACACGGAACCGAATATGAGCCTTGCGAGGCTTTACTATTGGAGAGTGAGAGTTTTTCTCGTATTTACTAGATATGGAAAATTTTTCAATCGCATTCAATTCAACCGATTCAAAAATTTTGATCTTGTAAACAATCCAATATAAAAATAGGCCCGATTGCATTTCTAGTAGTCATCTAGTAGTCATGGTTTTTGTTTTCAAAAAAGATTCAAATCATTCAAATGTAAATCGTTTAGACTGTGAACGACCCATCTTGCGGTAGGCGGGATGTTTGGGACCACTATGCCTCTGCGAGTGATTTGGCGGCCCGCTCTGTATGCAAGAAACCAGCACCAAGATAATAAAAACTTTAGTGCTCTCTATGCCATCCGTTGACATATTATGTAAATTTCTATCCATTCTATCCTGATGTCTATTTTCATATTTATGACTTGTGTTAATGGTGATCTTCTCTATACATAGTGCACCTATTTGTCCAGAAATCATCGTTTCTTTTTCTACTTATTTATACAAAATTTGAAAGTTATGACACATAATTATTTGGAATAGCACTTTCCCTGAATCACTGTAGTCCTGTAGGAATCGGGCTTAAAACATTGAATCAGCTGGTCGTCGGCACCATTTGGATCGATTCCAACACCACAGCTTTTGAAGGATTGACGAATGACATTCCAAAATTGAATTTCAGGCACCATTTTAAGTAGATCTCTATTCCAGGGGCCTTTGGGTTCCCACCTTTTGTACGTTCAGATGCTTGAAGCAAAATTCAATCCTCGTAAATATTCAGCCAAAAGCAGATGCAAATTTGGGGGGCTATTATTACAGGGAGGGCCACTAATTTTTCGTTGGTCCTCTGGGGGACTACTATTAGAGGGGGGCTACTACTACAACCTTTACGGTATTAGGTTCTGACAAGTTGTATTTCTTAAAGTTCTGGCATATTCAATACCCCAGGCTGAGCACATGAACGGGCGGTCCCATTTTTGCGCTCTACTCCAATGTACATAGCGGCCCGGGAATCTAGAAAAGTAGACAATTAAAAAGCATTCAAAAACAAAGCGAATTATCCCATGATTTAATAAATCAATATTGAATTTATGAACATAGATTACGTTATCCAACGATTTACATATCTATTTAGTTTCGCCCCAAAAGACCTACACACACTCTCCCAAGATTCTAGAGATTCTAGTGTTCAAGTCAGCAACGTTCGAGAAGGACTGAAAGCGTATCATCACACAATACACTAGTTTAGTGCATAAGTCCCTAGAAGCTTTTAAAAACTTCTCGATATCTCAAATTTGATCCCAATCCAATACACGAAGTTTGCCGAACTTGTAAGTATTTCTGTCAAAAGCAGGTGCAAAATAAGTTTTTCCAAAGCAAAAAATTTGAAAATGTTAGAAAATCAAAAATTAGAGAGATTCAAAATTAGAAAAGATTGGATCGAGAACGGAGAGATTCTCCAAGCAAGACTTAATATTTTGCAATGCTGGACGAACCATTCATCTACTTATGGTATGAATATGTTCTAGCGACGATCTCCACTCCGCTCAACCTATTCACAATCTATTGCATCTTGCTGCACACACCACCAGAAATGAGGGAATATCGAATACATTTAGCTGTATACCAGGTATGTCAATGTGTTGAGGCAGAATTCGACTCGACGGTCCTCTTTGGTCGAGACTGAAAACAAAAAATGTGCACCGGTCGGGAGTACCGGGCGACCACTCATGGGCTACAGTGAAACGCATGATTGGATATGACGATATTTTATTACGGTCTTATGAATTTATAGGGAATCGCGTCGTTGCTGGACTTTGTCATTCTCCTCATTCGCCCTGAGCTCAATTTCCCCGCGTTATCCGGGAGGATCTTTGGCGTCTGGGACACGTGGTTTCAGCTGGGAGCTGGACACGCTGTGGTTAGTGAAGAGCTTCAATAAAATCTAAATATAACGAATAAACCTGGAAAAGTTTGAACCGGAATGTAATAGCAAAATTTTTCAGATAGATGATAAAATCAATAAGACATAGAAGCTGGAAAAAGCAAATCGGTTTGAACCGACCCAGTTCTATCTGTTAATGTTAATAAATTTGTTAATGTTAATTTTTGTTTTTTCGATAAAAAGGTTTTTAAACTATGGGTTTTATTGGTTTGGGTAATTCTGGGGCACCCTGTAGATATTTTCGTTATATTTAAATATAGTTAAATTTCAATATATCAAGATTTCCAAATTCAGGGCTGCGGTGCCTACTTGGTTGGAGCGGTGACATGTGCCATCGATCAACTCTACTTTTACAAATGGCAGAGTCTTTTACCGGATGATAGTCGGCTGAAGTGGACCACGTGTTTAGCCCATTAAATATTTTCATTCCAGATTCTCTCGCGTTGGCCGCTCGATTTATTTATTCATCATGTATGGCTTGCTAGCAACACTGCTTGGACTGAGCTTCGAGTTGGCGCCAATTCAAAAGGGGACAAGCAGTGAATTTTTGAAGATCGCTATTCAGGTATCTTTAGTTGCTGTGCTAGCTGTTGCTTGACAAAGTCGAATTCCACTGTCATTTTTGACTGTTTAGAGTTTGATTGTACTTGTACAAAGCTTTAGACCCATCCAACGTACAGCTATCTGCTGAACTATTCTGATATCTACACGACTGCCCGGGTTCCCATCTATCCGGATGTCAGCTCTATCACCGCCGTCGATTTTTTCCTGTTTATGATCTTTTTTGGCCTGGTGGTACCAGTATCTTCGGTAAGGAAGGGCCTGTTGAATACATCTGATATGGCCGATATATATTGGATTTAAAACTGATCAGAAACCCTACGGTTTCCTTTGATCTTTCCGATAAAAAGTCCATGATTTCACCATGATAATTTTCCTCGGAAAGTTTCGGCGAAAAGTTTTACCGGAAACTCTCTTGAAGAAAAGTACGTTCCGCGGGAAAACCATGGACGTTTTACCGAAAAGATCAAAGGTACCGCCTTAAAGGTTAGAGACGCCGCCGAAACTTTTGTCGAAGCGTAGGATACGGGCTCTGTATTTTGGCCCGATTTAACTTTCAGAAAGTATACTACATTTTTGCGTGTAATCGTATCTTGACACATTCCCTGTTACATATGAGCGAAAAAACGAGAAGCCTTCAGAAGAGACTCTTCAGGACACTTTGCATTCAGGTTGCAAATCATCACTGTATAATGATAGCAATTAAAGTCGGTGACCGTTTGAGCAAGTGTAAATTCAGACAGCGATCCCCGTCGCCTCACACACGATACCATGGGCCTACTATGCTATTGTGATCATTTGGTCACCAGGATATATCAACCAACGTGAGTGAAGGATTACTTCTAGGGGGAAACAGATTTACGTTATCAGAAAAAAAGCGTCTAATGGTGAAAAGATAAAAACAAGATCTAAAGGAAAGAGGCGTAAATCCTTTTCCGGTGAACTAGCCTGTGATATCAGAATTCTTCTAAATGCAAACCAAATAATTGTTTAGCGCTGAATAACTTCTTCTTTGCAATCTTTGAAATGCACGGAACGAACGGATCGATTGCCCTATTGTTGCTGACCGAACCATATAGAAGATTCATTCGGGGAATGCTGAGGAAGATTCCCGTCTTGGGGAAATTTACAACGCTGGATCTGACACGAATCCACATTTTCGGGACATCATCCGGAACGGAGCAATGAATTTTTTTTCTAGATATATGTTTTGCCTATAAAAAATAAAAGCTATTCAAGCTAAAATATTCGTTAGTATATTTTCTCAATATTTTCACTTGCATTCCTGGAACGAATATTAGGTTTTAAACTAAGTTTTGACCCCAAATTCAAAACAATGCCACGATAAAATTAACTTGGAATCTCATTTTCAATAAAAGATCTTGAAGAGAATCCAGTATAGGAGCAAGCTGATACGACTTTTTGGAGACATTTTGCAAACAAGAAAACCGGAAACAATGCCTCAAACGCTAAAATTAATAAATAAATATTTCCTCTATTTACATTTTCCTAATTGTAATTGTGGTAGCGTCTAGTGAAACTGAGATGCTTATCGTTTCATCGCTCAACAAACTCCCGTATCACCGAAATCACCGCAATAACAATGAGTCAAAGTCAAGTCAAGTGTTTGCAGCTAGTTTTTACAGATTCAGAATCAGCATAGCCGATTCTATAAGATGCACTCAGTCACGAAGCGATTCTCAACTTCGAGCTGGTGCCATTCCCTTGTGAGGTTATTGAGCAAAAAAAGTTTTTCTTCTATAAAACCAGAGAAAGTTTGAGTGAAACGTGAAAAGCTGTTATAAGGTTTTCGAAAGAGTTTTGTAATCAAAAGCCAAACAATTTCAATTCATTATTCTTCCTAAAAAAGAAAAAGAATAGTCCTCTCAGCGAATTTAAACCATTTCCCAAGCTACAGTTAAAGTATTCTTTTCTTTCACATTGCACCCTTTTCGCTGTGTTTTTATTTCTCTGTCTCTCAATTTATTGAATGAACGGAAAAACGTAAAGTCGAATTTTATTGTTGAATCCTTGAAGTTATCATCAAACGCAGCACCTAAATTGGGTGGAAAATTGAACAAAATTGATTACCAGAGTCGATCATTTTAATTTTCCCCAGACTCACGCAAGGCCATTCGAACATAGACCCAAGTGTAGGTAGCCGACGCAGGTTGGGTTCAATTTCACATCCACACATTGACCGGTGCACTCGCCTAAACAGCCATTAGAAGCTTTGTTTAGTTCTCATCTGGTCAAGGAAATGCTTTGCGATTGCCCAGTCGACTATCTCGTCGAGCAAATATGGCTCAAAACGATTTCCCAATCAAATTAGTCTACCAAATTCATTAAAATGTTCAAAGTTGAATCCATGCATTTTGGCAAAAAGGTCCTTCGAATCGGATCCAATCCCTAGTGAGTACTAGACTTGTTAACAAGGCTTAACGAGGCTCCAAGTTTGACCAGGCATTAATGGTAGTAATTTTAAGGTTTAATGTAATTTTTTGAGCACTATTTTACAGAATTTTGCTGAATTTTTAGTATCAAAATGAAGCTAATAATATTGGCTTTCTGATAAAAAAGTTTTAGATTACTAGCAACTTTCAATGCGTCGAGATGACTTTCCGCACGGGAGCAACCCTAAAATATCGTTAGCCATGTCTACTACTCACCCATGTCATCCGTGCCACCAAATGCAATGTGCGAAAGAATCGCACAGATGATGACAACAAAAAGAAAATGGGCTGTGAAACGAAGGGACATTTTGAATCAAATCAAATGGTTTTAATCAACACCACTCATTCGCTTTTATATCAGGGAAAGAGTCATTCTTTATGATACGCGTATGGGATAGGTTTTTCGGTTTTAAAATGTTAGAGAAAACGTTTTCTTTTTCATGTGATTTTTTCTTTTAGTTTTCTCAAAAACGTTTCACGAGTTATGGCGGTGATTTCGGTGGGATGGGAGTTTGTTGATTGATGAAACGATAAGCATCTCAGTTTTAAAAAACCAGAGTAAACGTTTTCTTTTTCATGTGATTTTTTCTTTTAGTTTTCTCAAAAACGTTTCACGAGCTATTGCGGTGATTTTTGGTGATACGGGAGTTTGTTGATCGATGAAACGACAAGCATCTTAGTTTTAAAAAACCAGAGTAAACGTTTTGTTTTTCATGTGATTTTTTCTTTTAGTTTTTTCAAAAACGTTTCACGAGTTATCCAGTCAATACGAAAAAACTCTCACTCTCCAATAGTAAAGCCTCTCAAGGCTCATATTGGGTTCCGTGTAAGTGACGGCTGATCCATCAGTCCATGTGCCAGTGCCCGCATATCCACACTTCTATCGATCCACGATTGCCCATAGTGGCACGAGTCGTTGTTCGGGGCGGCGAGGCGATTGTCGGCGAGATTCGAAGAAACGAGATCTGAAGAGTTACAATATTAGTGGCGGTCCCTGTACATGAACCCTTACATAATGTGGCCTAAATGGATTTACACAAGAAGTTCTAGTTTTCAATCTCTTTTTACTTTCAGTACACTTCAGGATTCACCCGTAGTTGTCATGACAATGACTGCCAAAGAAATCTCACCGTAAACAAAGTAATCCTCATCTTTTGAGTGAAAATGAGCCTTGAGAGGCTTTACTATTGGAGAGTGAGAGTTTTTCTCGTATTTACTGGATACGGAACAATTTTTCAATGGCATTCAATTCAACTGATTCAAAAATTTTGATCCTTTAAACAATCCAATATAAAAAATGGGTCCGATTTCATTTCTAGTAGTCATCTAGTAGTCATTGTTTTTGTTTTCAAAAAAGATTCAAATCATTCAAATGTAAATCGTTTAGACTGTGAACAATCCATCTTGCGGTAGACGGGATGTTTGGGACCACTACACCTCTGCGAGTAATTTGGCGGCCCGCTTTGTATGCAAGAAACCAGCACCAAGATAATAAAAACTTTAGTCCTCTCTATGCCATACGTTGACATATTATGTAAATTTCTATCCATTTTCTGATGTTCATTTTCATATTTACGACTTGTGTTAATGGTGATCTTCTCTATACATAGTGCACCTATTGGGTTGGGGAGAATGAGTCGGCGCCGAAAATGAAAAAAATGTCTAAAACTTCTATTCGACTTCGTCAAATAATATGCGTTTGATATGAGTAGAATGGTTAACTAATTCTCTACAAAATCACATTTAAAAGAAAATTCAAACAGCGCTTCCGCTCAAGAAAAAGTCATTTTTTCACAAAAACTACAAACTGTGATCTAGAAAAAACCATTGGTGGGATCTTCCTGCAAATTTGGCAACTTAAGTAATTGAATGTGCTCTATCTTTTTTATATAAACACCAAAGAAGGTTTATGTGAAAGAAACTGTTCAAATGATGAGTCGGACTCTTTGCCATTTTAACCAGCTGCGTTTGGAAGTTCATAAACTCCACGAAAGAAAAGCTTTGTGGAATCTCTCAAAAGTCATTTTGTAGAGAAATAGTGGATCCTTTTGATGAAACCAAACGTATGTTTAAAGAAGGCTTTATGTGTGCAAAAAGTCCCTTTAAAGTTGGGCGCCGACTCATTCTCCCCAACCCAATATTTGTCCAGAAATCATCGTTGCTTTTTTTTACTTGTTTATACAAAGTTTGAAAGTTATGACACATAATTATTTGGAGTAGCACTTTCCCTGAATCACTGTAGTCCTGTAGGAATCGGGCTTAAAACATTGAATCAGCTGGTCGTCGGCACCACTTGAATCGATTCCAACACCACAGCTTTTGAAGGATTGACGAATGGCACTCCAAAATTGAATCTCATGCATCAGCGACCATTTTAAGTAGATCTTCATTCCAGGGGTCTTTGGGTTCCCACCTTTTGTGCGTTCAGATGCTTGCAGCAAAGTCCAATCCTCGTAAATATTCAGCCAAAAGCAGACGCAAATTTGGGGGGCTATTATTAGAGGGAGGATCACTATTTCTTCGTTGATCCTCTCTCAAGTTGTATTTCTTAAAGTTCTGACATATTCAATACCCCGAGCACATGAACGGACGGGGTTGGCTGCAATCGACGGCTTGCCATTTACCCGATAGAGGGCCATCACTGCGCAAAAGTTCACATCGTTGTTCTTGGGCTCATCTTAAAAGTTGCGAAGATCAGAAGAAACGTGACTCCACTTACTTGAATCCCAATTCTGATAAGACAACGGAGATCCATTAGCAAACATCCAAGTGGTCCCATTTTTGCGCTCCACTCCAATGTACATAGCGGCCGGGGAATCTAGAAAAGTAGAAAATTAAAAACCATTCAAAAGCAAGGCGAATTACCCCATGACTTGATGAATAAATATTGAATTTATGAACATGAATTACGTTATCCGACGATTTACATATCTATTTAAGTTTCGGTTCTACACCTAGAAAAGTCTTTCAGTAATAAAAAAAGCAATTTACCATCTGTGTTTAACCAGGCCCATTCGTTCTCAAAAGCATTCCTGAGTATTGCGGGAGTTCCACCAAGGCTGGTGCATTGTTTGGAGGCCTCCGAATAAGGCTTGGCTGGAGTTATGAAAGAGTTTGAATAGACGACAAATAAATTTATAAACTGTTGACTTTTTGTAAAGTTGCCGTTTTTATTGAACTTATAGCAACAAATATAGCCAACCAACCGTCAGAAATGGCAGCAAAGCATTCGTCATCAAACGGGAATGGCTGAGCTCCGTCCGGGCAACTCTGCGCTTGGATTGCAATCCAGCACGCGTCGAAGAAAAGCGCAAAACTCAAGAAGTTTATTTCGCACAAATGGCCTTCTCTTATCGGGGTGAAGCTCGGCACACGTGATTCACAAAAGACAATTACCGCGATCTTATCATGCTTACACTCCCAGTTGAAAGATCCCAGAGATGTTAGTGTTCAAGTCAGCAACGTTCTAGAAGGACTGAAAGTGTATCATCCCATAATACACTAAATTAGTGCATAAGTCCCTAGAAGCTTTCAAAACTTCTGGATATCTCAAATTAGATCGATTCATGAACCAACTGGATGCCATTTGACTCATTACTTATAGGCCAATCCAATACAGGAAGTTTGACGCGCTTTTAATTAGTTCTGTCAAAAGCAGGTGGTTTTTTTAATAAGCAAAAAGGTGGAAAATCTTTTTTTGTTTGAAAGTTTGAACATTTCAGAGAATCAAAA